CATAATTATGCCGCATCACTAATGAGCCGTGTACACTGTTAGGATACCGACCGGGTAGTCCGTCCCGCATGATGATGTTAAGTATCAAAATCTTGTACGAAGTTACATTGAGATAGTTAAATGATAGCCCGAGTCGTTGGCGGATGCCAGTTATGTTTTTGACTCACTTCAAATATATGACGCAGAGTACTTTGTATTTGAAAGTACACGGGATTTGTGCTGGTATTCATTCTATCTTCCTAGTGATAGTGGAAGATATTATGAATACGATATGTTGATGGCTTTACTTTCTTTTACTGCTTTTCTTTATTTTCTTAGTTGGGATCAATAATTAGCGATTCACAATTTGAGATATATGATATATATATATATAAGTCATTGGCGGATGCCAGTTATGTTTTTGACTCACTACAAAATCTATAACCCAGAGTACTTTATTTGAAAGTACAGGGATTTATGCTGGTATTCATTCTATCTTCCTAGTGATAGTGGAAGATATTATGAATACGATATGTTGATGGCTTTACTTTCTTTTACTGCTTTTCTTTATTTTCTTAGTTGGGATCAATAAGGTAGACTATGCTTAATAGATAAAGTCTCCACTCAATCTAACAGTCCTTCCCCTTGGGGGCAGATGGAGGTGATCTTGCTATAGCGCTCTGACGCTCTTGTTGTTGCTGTTTTTCTTCTAATATTCTTTTAGGTAATTCAGAGTACCGGAGAGTCACAGGATGATAGAGTTCTTGTATAGTCATCGTCACATGAGATTTATTAGAGGCTCCACCGTAGTTTTATATTTTTATTCAGACCATAGAGTTTATTTCATAGTGTAAAGACAGTGTGCCTTAGTATGATTTTCAGTTGTTTCTTGTCGAGACATATTTATTTATTTTGGATATCAGATGTATTCCAGGTTATTCATTGAGACATGATTTATTTATGAGATACTTCTTTCTATATTATGTCTATTGTAGTTATTTCCTTTCTTTTTCCTGTTTTGTACTTGCACTTTATTTTGATTCCACTAGAGGATATTACCGTGATTGGTAAAACTTGTTGTTACACAGTGTGGGTGCATGGCAAGTTTGACATCTCTGGGTTCATCTTGGACTACAACCATGTATGAAAATATGGGCGTCACACCCCTATGGTAACAGAGGGGGCGGTAGAGACATGATGATGGAGTAGAGTCTTAGAGACTACTCCCCTGGTGCGGTCTCCAAAGTGACCTTGACCTGGACTCTCACCAGCGGTCTCCTAATGACAGTGGTGATGTTGGCAAGGCTCGTCAGCGCGACCCGATTGATGCGGTGGTGGGGACTGTGTTCGACGTGATCCCCCATCTGCTTGGCAGCATCATGAGGAGATTGAGGCTGAACTACTTGATGCCGCGCGAAAGTAGTAGCCTCAGAATCCACCAAGGACAATCTTCAAATCCACGAAGAGCATCGAATCCAAGAAGTAAATATTGAAAAAAACAAAATTTTATTAATCAAAAAGTTATGTATCTAGGGCTTATAAGATCCAACTTAAATAGAAAAGAAACAAGACTTTTACAAGGACTCAAACTCCTACAAGAACTCCAACTTACCAAAAATAATAAAAGAATTTCTAAAACATTAAACTCCTAAAATGACTCATTAGAACTAGGAAATTCCACCGGTCAAATCTGAGATCAAATTAGCTTTGTTTCCTAATCAAAACAGACTCCTAAAGCATTACTAAAAATAGTAAAAAACGGACAAAAATACAGATATCTCTCAAATCGTAAGGAGTTTGGCAAAATGGAGGAAACAAACCGAATTCTTAGGGGTTAGTTTGGATGGCTCCGTCTCATCGAGATAATCGATTTTCATATATAATTCGTCTAATTCTGACGTACAATTTGAAAGTTACGGTTGTTTCTTCGAAACAAGTTATTTTCTTCGACTAGGCTCGCATTTGGGCTTGCGACTGTCCCACTTTGACATAAACATGTCTGCCGTGTGTTCTACATTAGTCCCCCCTGCTTAAAGAGAGCTCGACTCCGAGCTTACACTTGCATGAATAACTGTTTCTTCTGGCGGGTAATACTCAAACAAATTTGCAATATTGAAACTAGGAGAGATACCCAAATCTGTAGGAAGGTCAACTACATAAGCATTG